ACATGCCCTGTGCATATGGTAAATGAGGATATGAAACTCACCAGTTTTTCTTTTTCTTTCTGTTTTTTTCACAGCAAATGAAAATGTATGTCCTCTTACTCTATCTCTTTTTCTTCCTTTTTACAAAGGCAAGTTCTTATTTTTTTTTCTTAGAGCATTTTTGCCTTCCAAACACAAACCACTGGCTTTACCTTACTAAATTAGATAAAACCTCACTTTTCGGAGATGGCAGTGGGGTAGGGCAACTTAGAAAGCACTGTATGTATGCTTTCTTCAGTCAGAGAGACTCACAGGGACCCAGACTCAGCTCTTGTTGTTTATCTCTCATGGCCGTGGGTTCCCTGTTGCTGGTCAGGGGAGGATAGGCTGAAGCTGATGGTCATGAAGTAGAGAGAAGGTGGTTGGCTCCTGCTCAAGATCTTGCTTCAGTAACACTGCGCCGCAGCCAACCAAGCTTGCTAGATACACTCACTGAGAGAAAGATTGTGCTTTTGTGGAGAGTTAGGCCAGAATTTCTGCTTCAACCCCCAGCAACAGATTCTTTTGGGTGTCTTAGTGAAAAGGCATTTGGGAAATGGACTGTACATGCAGCAAATCGGATTTCGGTTAAATGGTGACATTTGTTTCCAAAAATGTATCAGAGGGGAAGCTAAGCTCTTCAGAGCATGTGTTCATTAAAGATTTGAAGTGGGGTGGGAAGCAAGAAAAAAAAGGCCAGTGGGCTCTCTTGTGAGATAGTTTTTTGTTCCTATGAATTGAATACACTTTGAAAAGTTTCAAAAAGAAACTGGGAAGAATGTATTTGCTTTGATCTAACATGTAGAGTGTTCCCCTCTACAAATGCCCTTTAATTTAGAAACATTGTTGAAAAATCTTTTTGAAAGTACATAAAAATATATGTAAATAAGGTCTAATTAGTTATTTCAATTAATTATTTTTTTGTCTGTGCTTTACAGCTCTTTTTTTCTGCCTGTAATGTTGCTTTTCAGAGTCCAGCTTTTGGCACCTTCTGAAAACTGTTTTTTAACAGTCGTTATTAAGAAAACACATTTTTTCCTTGTCGAAAACCTCACAATGATAAAGTAAAATCCCAGATTGTGCACCTTCATGGAGAACCGTTTCAGACATTTTTAATCCATGATTTGCTCATGTGATATTTAAGGAAATCTTGCAATTAATTGAAACAGCGGGTGTTTCCTTCTTAAAATAGATGGTATGGGTTGTTTTTTAGAAAATGAGTCTACCTAAGTTCACTAACCAGCCTCCAATCTCCTTTTCCAGCAATCCCATGTCCTTTGAAAGACAAATGTGTTCAATCTGGAGGTGAAAAGTTTTAATTCTTTCTAAGTTGAGATAAGGAGGCTCCAAAAAACACTGGTAAAATAATTTCAAGTTGCTTCCACTACCCACTTCTTAAAAATTGACCAGTAACCTAACCTGAAATGTTGATTTCGGAAACTTAGAAAGTAAACGGTATGACAAAATTATGAGCTTTTCATTGAGCAGTTTGCCTGCCCTCTACTTTCACTGAATAAAATTAGTCTTTCAGAGCTTGGAGAAATCAAGGTGTGTTCTTCAGCTTTTACCCATGAGGGTCTTTGGTGGAGGTCAGAGGAGGATGCTTATTAGAAATTTGGATTCCTGGTCCCTACTGTAAATCTTTAGAATCAATATCATCTTAGGAGCAGTGTCAATATTTTTCACAAACATCTCTAGAAAATTGTTATGCTCACTGAATCTGATGGTCCACCACTTTGGGCAACCTCCTTTATTTTGTGGTGAAGAAGCAGGTGTTGAGTTTGATGGGTCAGACTTGCATTATATTTTGGGCAAGAGCAGACCCAGTCTTCATGACCCTAGGTTCTGCGGGTCCAATATAGCCACAAGCACGCGGACAAATTCAGACTTCACTTCAGGGCCATGAGGGTGATTTCAGCACCAACAGTGGAATAGCATGGTTCTAGGTAGAGTAGAAAGGGAAAGACACTCAATTAGGAGTAGGAGCATCTGTGCTGCTACTTTTGTCCAAGCTAAAAGCCGAATGAATGAATCCTAGCTGGTTCTCTAACCCTTCCTGTCTTTTATGAGCCCAGAGAGCTATGCAAAGTTGTGAGAGTATTTAGTTCATTTAGTTAGCTTATACATTTGACCCCCAGCTTTGGACCTGTGTGCACAGTTGATATAGTTTTAGGCTATATCTTTCTCTTAAAATGCATATTTGTATATTGTGATATTGTCTATTTTGTGTCCAGAAAATTATAGTAACATCTTTAAAATTATAGACTGATAAACAGAGTCATACCTATGAAAGAGTATATAAATATCCAGCAAATGCTTAGTGATGTTTATTATATCCAAAATTCAAACAACCAAAAAGTTAAGATAACCTAATTTCATTTTTTTTGGAGTTCTATGGTGAGTTTGAACTATAATGATGATCCTGAATTTCTGCAAGATCACGGTCACCTCCTGAGATTAGAAAAGGTTGAATTATATTCATATCACTTTAATATTAACTCAGTTTGACTATCTGCTAATTTTTGGAAACAGCATTATCCCTGTGTCTAGGATATATCAGGTTCCACAGAACTTTATCTTACAGCTCATAGATGGATATATTGTCTAATATACAATAATTATCTGCATATACTCTTATTTAACCAATACAGTATCTCTATGAAGAATATATTGTCAGTTCTGTTTTACTGATGGAGAAATGAAGATTTTTGCAAGATCAAGTATGTTTGTAATCAAACATAAGTATGTAATCAAACAAACATTTGTTTGATTCTTTCTTATCTTCCATTCTTTCTCCTTCCTCAGCCAGCCTGAAAAACAGGAGCTTATAATGACATCATTGCTTCTCAATAGTAAAGAAATCCGTTGGAGGGATCCATTTGAAGCAGACTTCATTGTCTAATATATAATATATATATTTTGAATAATTGTCTAATATGTAATATGTATATTTTGACATCAGTGCTAATGAAAGTAGGCCATTTCAAGAGCCAGTGGCAGGGGGCTGGGGATTTAGCTCAGCGGCAAAAGCGCCTGCCTGGCAAGCGCAAGGTCGTGAGTTCGGTTCCTGGTACCAGAGAAAAACCAAAAAAAAAAAAAAAAAAAAAAAAAAATAGAGCCAGTGGCAGAGCTAAAAGGACCAATTTTGGAATAGCTATTGGAAATTAAAGTCTCTTTGTGTGTATGTGAGTGTACATGTATTGAACAATACACAGCATATCCTGTCAACATAAACATTTATTGATTGTCTGCTCTATGTAAAAGCTCTGTGTAAAGTGCTAAGGATAAAACATATTTCCAAGAAGTTTATAGTGTGGCTGCCTTGACAAGCCCATAAAAAGATAGGACAGTTTAAGAAAGCACATGCTAAATGCCAAGTGAGTAATGCAGTCAGCAAGGACAGGAAACGGCATTCCAGCGTTCACAGTCCTGGGATTGTGACAGTGTCTGACTGCTCTGTCAAACAGAAGTTTGTCTGATTCTTATCTTTCACACATTTTTTCTCTTTCCTCAGCCAGCCCGAACAACAGGAGCTTATAATGGTTCTGCTGCTACTCAATAGTAAAGAAGAGCATTGGAGGGATCCGTTTGAAGCAGAATACTAACATATTTACTTGTTGTACCATTCATATTAAAAAACAATAGGATCCAGTTCTCTTTCTGGAGGATGCACTGTGAAATTGATTATTAACCTGTTTATTTGTGATGGAAGTCCTTTGCAGTTATGTGATATTTTTATCCTTGGAATTCATGTGGATCAGTATCTTCTCAGGTTGGCAGTTTGTTAAATAAAAGTGTTTAAACACCTTGTAAAGGAAATGGGGTGCAACCCTGATGTTTATATTGTTATCATTTTTATGCCTACATCATGAAAGAGTGTCAGATCTCTTTGATTAATACTGTTTTTGGTACTTAACCATGCAAAGTTCCACACAGAAGGAGTTCTAAAATGAAAGCTATAGGTCAGAAATATCAGAATAATGAGGGACTTATGTATTCTTGATCACCTTCAGGACTTTGTCATTTGGGATGATTGTAACAGAATTTCCATACTCATCAGTAGAAGGTAATAGCTCCTATTGAAAGCAAAGTAATGGCTTCCTTGTGGCAAGGTCATGGTTATTGCCAGGTTTCCTGACAGTACGTGGACAGTGCTCACAGAATTATGGACTTGGTGGAATGTGAAAAGGGGATTAGTAGTCACTTGCCAGCAACCAGTGGTCTTGAATAATGGGCCAGATTTGTCAAAGTAGAGAGCAGGGAAAGTGAAATAAGGTGTGCTATTATGTGGAGGGTAGGATGTGCACAGTACATTTATCTAGGAGGCAATGTGGAAAGTTCTCTGACTGGAATAAAGAGCTTATATTCCCACTGCAGATGGGAAGGAAATATGTATGTGAGGTGGGGGGGTCACATACACATCATGGGAGGAAAAGTTGGAAAGGTGAGATGGGGTCAGTCAAAGACCAAATTCATTACACTGATGTTGCAAGCAGAAGAAGGCTACATATCAGATTTAAGGATCATTTTTAATGTCAGAATGTCATCAAATTTAATGTCAGACAGACTTTGAGCCAAATCCACACTTCACCTTTTATGGGCTAGGTGACCTTAGGCAACATACTTAATCTTGCAAATATCATTTCTCCATCCGTAAAATAGAGCTGACAATATATTCTTCACACAGATACTGTATTGGTTAAACAAATGTGTATATGCAAATAGAGCTCTGAAGAATGAAGTGAGGAAATAAAGGGCGAAGCTGTATGCAGAACAGATAGAATCAGAAGAGACCCAAGGTGGAACCAGTTAGGTGACACAGCAAACCTCCAGGAAATGAGATAGAGACTGTAAGGCTGGAAAGACGGGAACACATCTGCAGGTATTTTCTGTAGCCTCTTTCACTTAACTAGAGGGTCATGTAGGCTTGTTTTGTGGTATTCAAAGTGCAACAATCAGACTCCTCCTTTTGCCTTGAACAGGATGCCAGCGCTCTATTGGCCTTTCCAATGGGAAAGCCAAGGTGTGCAATTACAGTGGGTGGTACTACTGCAGCAGCTGCCATGTGGACGACAGCTTCCTCATCCCAGCACGCATAGTCCACAACTGGGATACTTCAAAATATAAGGTAGGTACAGCACTGGGTTGACTTAATGATAATGGTTCAGGTGTTCATATGTTGTCAAATGGATTGTAAAGATGATAAAACAATTTAAAACAAACTTGCTTAGGTAGTCTCATAAAAGCGCTCAGTTGTTATCTCATTCTTCATATATAGCTCACAGCTTAAAGACTTCTTAATTATTACCCACTAATTTTCTAATTAAAATATATATGGCAGTTTTTACTTCTAGGCCTAAGAAATAAATTTACTATAATTTACTGTGGGCACCAAGAGCAAATTCTAATGGAGCAGCACCCTCATTATTTTTTCACTAGCTCTCACCTCCAACATCACAACACTGGGAGGATAAATATGAGAAAATAATAAATCATGAGCATACTAGTAGTCTTTAGAGAAGGTTTATGCAATCCAAGGTTTTTGTTGCTGTTTTTTCAGAAAGGATCTCACTGTATAGCCGAGGATGGCCTTGAACTCATGGTGATCCTCCTGCCTCAGGCTCCTGAGTGCTGGGATTATGGACATAATATAGACCAGCAATCCAAACTATTTCTTTCAGTGGAGTAGCACCTTAGTCATGTGAAGGTCAGTCTTTAAGCACTCCGGGCCCTGGGACTGGAATCTTGAGAGAAGCAATGAAGGTGCCTGGGTGGCAGCCCACAGAAGGAGCAGTGCACTCAGCCACCTTCAAGCCTCTTACAAAGGAAGTGGGGTGCAACCCTGATCACTGCATTGGACTGTTATTTCTTAAAGAAGGGGAGCAACTGAGAAGCATAGGTGCATGGGAACAGCTTTTCAAAGTAACTGCTAACAGACAGAAAATAAAATTAGCAGGTGTGTTAGCTATGAAAATGTACATCAACAGAGAAGAGGAAGAGTGAAGACTTGCTGGGCTATTTCAACTTAAGATAGACAGAGAGAGGCAGAGGAGGCCAAGAAGGAGTGAGCAGTGAGGTAGAAGGATCCAGGCCGTCTGACAAGCCCTGTGAAGAAAGTTTTCCCAGATGACTTGTGACAAATGCTGATAGGTCACGGAAGATGAGCGCTGAGAATTGACCGTTGGCTTTAGTAATGCGGAGGTAATTAGTGACCTTAATGAGAGCAGTTTGAATGGAGCAAAGGTTTGTGGGAGCAAAGGTCTGAATGGAGTGGCTTCAACTTAGCATAGAAAAAGAAATAAAAGACAAGAACAGGCAACTCTTTTGAGAAGTTTTGTGCTAAAGGAAAGGACAGAGATGGAGAGTAACTCAAAGGGAAGTGGGGTCAAGTTCTGTTTGATTATTTGTTTTAGTGGAAAAAATAACAGCATATTTTTGGTGTGGACGTGAACTACCTAGGAGAGAGGAAAAACGCTAGAATGATGTGGCTGAGTCTCTGGAATTATGTACTCAAGAGGAGGGGTTGGCCATGCAGCACAGAATGAAAGAAAAAGAAGCATCTCTGGATGTGGATGAGGGCAGGTAGATGTGTTGTTGGACCTAATAGAAGTCCTCTTCCCTTTTTATCAGATCCTGTTTTATCAGATCCTGTTTTTTCACTATCTGTGATCTTCAAGAGTAATAACCTAGTCCCAGGTGCTCTGGGAATTGCATTTACCATCCACTTTGTAAGTAAAACTGGGATGATTAGGCTATGTAATTCCATCAACTCCCTTACAAATTTGTCTACGTCTATATCCATCCATCATTGTCTTCTTTCCAGTGACAGAAGAAACCTCACTCCTCTTACAGAAGGTTTATTTCTTTTACCTTTGTTCTTGGTCTAATCTCTTCTCCATTGAACCCAGGGTCTCTCATATCCTAGGGCAAGTGCTCTACCTCTGAGCTACATCCTGAGAACCTGTGATTTTTTTTTAATGCTAATCTTTAGTGTGTATGCTTACAGTACATGATGGTTACATTCATTGTGGAGAGTTGCTATATATACATAACATATTTTAATTCTTTTTTCATGCCCTTCCCTTCCTCTCCCTCTTGACTCCTATCTCTTGACCTTAGTTTTACTGACTGGGATTTATATGCTGCTGATTCCTCCTTTTTACCTCCAGCTCACATCAGTTTTGTAGCTGAAATCAAGATCTATGGTTTTTTGTTTTTATTTATTTATTTATTTATTTAGTTAGTTTTTGAGACAGGGTCTCGCTATGCAGTTCAGGCTGGCCTTGAGCTCACTTTGTAGCCCAGGCTGGTCTCAAACTTGCAAAGATCCTCCTGCCTCAGCCTCCCAAGTGCTGGGATTACAGGCATGTGCCACCATGCCCAGCTAAGATCTATGGTTTTAATTGGCCAATAGACATGTGAATTTTAGTTTTCACCTAGTAGTCCTCAAGATATTTGAATTGGTTAGCTATCTTGTATAGCATTGCCACCATTCTGTAAATGCAAATCCAGGAACCTAACTCCCTATTAGAGTGGAACTCTAGGCTGGAGATTCTGTCCCTGTACCATGTCGTACTCATATTAACAGAGAGCATAATTATGTTAACTAAAATGAGTAGAGTTTTTTGCTCTTTATCAGATCACTGTGACATCTGCCTGACATGAATATTCCATGTAGAGTATTTCATTCAAAAGTAAGCTCTATGGCTGTTTTCATGCCTTCTTGATAATAGATGCCTGAGAATGACATTCATGGTAACTGTATCACAGCTGTCTAGGTAGAATCTTTAAAGTCCAAAAACTGAACATGATTATGGTGATATATTTTCTTCCATATCTCTGTCTCCTCTTTACTCATTCACATCTTCACTGGCTCCAAGGTACTGCATTCCAATCGTTCTTGGCATCTGACCTTGTCTCCCTCCTACTGCAAGAAGAAAATTGAAGTTATGGGATATAAATATGACTCTAAAGCTATCTATATTTGTACATATACCTAGTACTTTCTCTCCTAGCCTAGGAGAAAGAAGAGCATTTTCTTCTGTTTAGTAGTCATTCTTCTACATATGCTCCAGATGTTTTTATCCATCATTCTTATATATCATTCTTTGTTTTTGTTTTGTATGTATGTGTGTATATATGTATGTATGGATGGATGGATTGACTGACTGACCTATTGATTGATTGATTGATTGAAGCAAGGTCTCACTATGTAGTGCAAGTTGGCATTGAAGTCACTTATGTAGCCCAGGCTGGCCTTGAACTCACAGCAATCCTCCTTCCTCAGCCTCCCAGGGCTGGGATTACAGGTGTGTGCCACCATGGCCGGTGTATATATCATCCTTCCAGCCCAATAAAAGTGTTTTCCTAGGTAAAACTGTCTGTGTTTCTTCCCATGTCCTACTTGTTGCAACGCTGTCTCTCTCCCCCGCCACCATTGTGTCCTAGATCTCAAGAGTTGTACTTACTTAGGGGTTAGTAGCAGGAGCTTGGAATTAAAGCAGATGTTTGTCCAAAGCGTAACTCTTCCTGTTATTTAGGTGCTTGATTAATTGGGGTAAGTTACTTGAATTTTTCTGAGACTCAGTTTCCTATTCTATAAACTAAGGCCTGAGTTCAAGTCTTGGCTTTGTTGCTTACTAGTTGTAAAACTCGGGCAAGTTATTTAATCTGTGTTTCAGTTTCTTCATCTGGAAAATGAGGATAATAATACCTCATAGGGTTACTGCTGGTTCAATGGGTTCAAACATGTGTTTTTAGATGTGCCTAGCACACAGTGCATGCCATATAAGCATTTGTTCTTTTTGTAATTCATGCATTTACCTAAAAGGAGAGTGTAAGCTAGAATAAAAAAAGAAAGGCACTTAGCAAATGACTATGATAAACACTTAATGAACAGAAGGTGTTAGGGTTTTCATTGTCATCACATTTGTATAATAATTGGTTGCTTGTCTGCTTTCTCTATAAAGGGAGACTCCCTAGGCACAGGGAATGTGTCTTAGTGCAATTCCTAATATGTACCTTGGTATATGAAGCGTGTTTCCTGGGCCCTCAAATTTAATATGCCCAAGTTTGATCCATCCTGCCCTCCCAACTATATATTGCCTGCCTTGGTTAATAACCCCAGTCGCTTCTGCCAGATCTGGGAGACCTCCTGGACTCCTCCCCTTGCCACAGATACCTTGCCTAACCAGTGAGCAAAACTCTGCTACATAAGGTTAGCTCTTGAGGATGGTCACGTTCTCCACTGCACCCCCAATTCCAGCATACCAACTTGAAGATTCAGTATCATGCTTGTGAAAGAAGCCAGTAGCTTCCTAATGGTGCTTCTTACACCCAAGTCTCGCCTTTTGTGGTCCTGACCTTACCTTGGGTAAATGTCTTACCCTTTTCTAGTCTTAGTTTTTTTACCTGCCCAGTAGAAATAATAATAGTAGCTATTTCATAAGGTTGCAGTTTACCTAAATGAATGAGTCACAGAACACTTAGCATAGTGTGTGGCACATAATAAGTTCTCATTTACCATGATTGTCTGCAAGGTAAATGTACTTCTCTTGCCTGATCCATACGGCCTTTTGTGCACTTGAGTCGCTGCTGGTCTTTCTAGCCCCTTTATGCCTTCTCCATTAGTCTTTTCTTTGAGATCATATCTGTCCTTCCTGTTCCCCATCCTACTGGGCTATTTCACACCTTTTGGCTTCCTCTCCTATCACTCACCCCAGCGAATCCTAAAACTTGCCTCAAATCTCATTTCCTCTCCTAATACTTTCCTTCCCTCTACTAGACAGAGTTATCATGCTCTCCTCTGCATCTTGTACTTGACACTCTAAATATAGTCTATAAATACATTCGTCCTGTGCATATTAGATAAAAACATACTTAGTGGGAGAGAAGACCAGTTGAGTTTGTTTTAGGGTTTAGATTAATAGGCTTAGTAGAGGGCTTTGACAGCTAAGTGTGCAAAGGAAGTGAGTGAGGCAGTCCCAGCCCCGTGACTCCAGGGCACCTGCCAACAGAATGCGCATCAGTTAGTGGAGCACAAGCAAACAGGCGACCCTAACGGAGAAAGTGAAAAGATGAGGTGAGGGTTCCGAAGGCATGCCATGGAAGGAGAGATCCGGGTCTGTT